TGGAAACATACATTTGAATACATGTCCAAGAACAGGCTCTTTTTGCCATCCTTGGCATTTCTGGGAAAAGATACCTCACTGGATGAATAACTAAAACCTACTTACCTCAAAGGTTGGAGGGGAGAAAAAAAAAATGTAAGAGGGCCTTGTAAACAGTAAATTCATAGGCAGGTGTTAATTATATTCTTATTAGTGTTCCTGTTCTTAGCAGTTGTCACTGTTCATAGCATTTTCTTTCAAAAGGAGATTGAGACCTTTATGAGAGTTTCTACTAATGAGGATTTCTTCTGGGGGGTCACTAGAATGATTGCTAACGCAGAAAAAAAAAAGTGTCATGTTCTCCCACAAACATCTGCATAAATGATACATTAGTAATATCTGAAGATTAGTCCTGTTTGGGGTATAAAAATATCAGGGATATTCTTAATTATAGATTATTCAATAAGATAGAGTGCACTTCTACTTTCTAGAAGTTTTCATTTTTATAACTTTTGTTGTTCCTGTAATAATATTTCACCTTAAAGACATTTTAACTTATTTCTGGGTTTCAAATTATTTCAAAACATAACATAGTAACTTATACTTTAGTTATCTTATACCTTTTCTGGAACAACATAGATAGAAGTTGTTTTTTTTTAATAAGATAGGATTGTTTTCAACTTTTCTATTTCTCAATATTTAAATATGTTGGGGGAAAATCAGGTTATACATTTTTGGTAGGAGTATCAGGAAAGTGATGTGTCATTCTCAGCATTAGGTCAAGAGGCCCATGATGTTGGTTTGTCCCAATATTTGTGGTGTTGATTTTGATCATTAGCGTAAGATGATTCCACCAGGTTTTCCCAAAATAGTTAATTAATAATTACAAAGACTGTAAATATCTTGATCTTCGTGAAACACCCACTTAATTTTAGTATCTATTGATTTTCTAATTCTATCTTTCCTTCCCTCCTTCCTTCTTCTTTCTTTCCTTCCTCATTCTCTCTCTCACTTGCCCTCCCCCCTCTTCCTCCCCCTCTCCATCTCTTCCGCTTTACCCCTGTCCCCCCACCCTTTCTTGGCGCGTGATGATAAGGAAAAACTTCTCCTTTTTCCCCATTTGTGTATCTATTCGCTGGTTTATTTATATCAGTATGGCCTTATGATACTTATTCAATGGGTTGTCATCTATTATTATCAATAGTTATTTTGATATTAAAATTGTTCCAGATTTGGCTAGCAAGAGCCCCTTCAAGCTAACTCCTATGTGATTTGACATGACCCAATCATTCCTTGAGCGCTTGCTTTCCTACTAACTGACTCAAACAGATGTTCCAGGCTTATCCTGTA